GTGAAGTGAACAGATCATTGCCAGCGCAGAGAGAGTGAGGTGCAGTGAACAGATCATTGCCAGCGCAGTTTTCCTCTGTAAACATCTCTCGGAGATAAATCGGCAAACTCTTGTGTTTCGCTTTCACGAAGTATGATGATATGATACGCAGCGACGTGGATGTTTTTGGGGCTTTTTTTTCGCGGAGTTTACCGACTCCTTGAAAAAGTGGATTTTGCAAATGTGAAGGTAAATTAAAGGTTTAAAGGAGGGTTCAGCCGCTAAGAGAGGATCGGAGGGAGTCGCTTCGGTAAAAAGTAGTGAGCGCGGACACTGAGCTCTCCAAACGGGAGTCAGTATGCTGTCCGGAGGAGCCGCGGGCGGAGAGGAGCTCGGGACCGATTCGGTTGAACAGCATGTTATGGGAATGGCGTTGGATCTGTGCGTCGAGTCTATTCCACCGAGCGCATGAAGAACAAGAAGAGAGGGACAAATGTTCAGTGTGCTTTGGGTATACGGATTAAATCATGTTTGATAAGGTAGGCTGATTTTATTGGAGCGAACTGCATTTATTCTGCTGGATTAAGTTAATTTACCCGTCTAAATACAGGAACATTTTAAATTAAAAGGGCACGACTACTTGCAATTTACATAGTTTCCAGGCATTTCGTTCGAAACTATTCTGCTGTAATGGACTTTTACTTTTCCGCAAACGTTTGCTTCGTTCGTATGTTAGACTAAGGCTTGTCAGCATTTCATCATCTCAAATAACATATGTAGGGTAAATAGTGGATAACCGAAGCGGTTTATCTGGTCAAACATCAATGCGTATCATAGCATCGTTTCTCTTTTACTTGCGCTCTGCTCTCGGCATAGTGATTATTCATTCACATCATCAGCTCGCTGCTCTCTCAAGTTCACCTTATCCGCCTCGAAATGTCTCCTACAATATAAACTTTCAGTGTTGTTTTGTTTTTTCGCATTTTGTTTTGTCTGCGAACATGCGTTTTGGTTAAGACACACTGTAAAAAAAAATGTTAAATTTAGCTGTGGTTGTTATACATTCGCCGTAGCTGATAAATAGTAAAAGGTGGTGAAATGGAAGACCACGATGAAACCAACGTTCAAATACCTTATTGCACACAAATGATTAGAAAATAAATAATATATACATTATTAAATAAATATAAATACATGTTTCCATTAAATATAATACAGTCTGGCAATGTATTTTATACTGTTTTTCTCCAGTCACTATTTTGTAACTTAACTTTAAAACAAGATTTTTTTGTTTAATATACAGTATGTATGCATACTATATATATATATATATATATATATATATAATATGCACAAACTGTAAAATAACATGTATTGTCTTGAATTTGTATTTTTACTTCCAAAATAATATTTTACAGTAAAAATGCATGCATTGTGTGTTAAATCAAATATTCTGTTCACTGTAGGTAACAAGGCAACATGCAGGTAACAATTCAACAGGTTTTTACTATAGCATTTTTACAATTATGATTTTTTTTTTTTACAGTGTAGTCTACACTCTTAAAAATAAAGCTTCTTAATTGGCTTTAATGGTTCAGTGAAGAACCTTTATGAATGATGATGAATAGTTTGCTGTAAACCTATTTATACTCATGGTTATGCAATTTAATGTGATTTCAAATATGGTTTTGTCAGATCTAAATGGCTCTTTATTAGGCCTGTTTTCTGCTAATGTATTTTTTCCATATTTAAATCACACCTGTCATATAGCTTGCCTCTTAGGAAAGACAAGCATTCTCTTGCCAGGCATTGATTGTCTTAACTCTATTAACAAAGCATATGGTACAGGCCACAAAAGCAAAAATCCAATGCAGAGGTGTTCGCTGAAGGCTCAAAATGCCAAGAAGTTTGTTATTTTACAGTGACTGATGGCGCACAAATACAAACAGGACCGACTGAAAAGTTTTTAATTCACAAAATGGTAAATGTCGTACAAAAGCCTTTTTTTTCCGCCCCCTGGGTTAGGAAAAAAATAAATAAAAATAAATAAATAAAAAAACTTTCCTCCAGTGTTGATTAAAGGGCAGCAGCTGCCTTGCACAATTATGTGGAAGTTTATTTAGATGAAAAATGGTGCACATTTAGCTTACTTTTATTTATTTATTTTTAATCTCAACTTGAATTACACTATAAGTAATAGAAGTCTGAACAGTAGATTCATTATGAGTTCTGAGTATGATTCTGAGACCTTGAACTAGCACAAAACCTATTCGCTGAGAGAGAACAAAAAAAAAAAGAAGTATTGATCATTTATTGCAGGTAGAGGGGCTAAATTATACCCCAATCCCATTTAATTTGACAGGTAGTATTCGTCACTCTGAATTGTGTATGGGGCATGCATATTCTATGATGCATAGTAAAGACGCTGTTGGCATATAGTAAACAGAAAATATTGCATAAGAAGCCACGGTAAGACTTTAAAAAAAAACAATAGTTATATGCAACCACATTGGTTGGGGGGTTGGCCTACTAATTTTTTTTTGTGAACCCACACTTCTTTATTCTAATTTCTCCTTCTTTTGAAACAGGTCTCTGGACCCAAATGTCACATCTTCTGGAAACAGCTTGGGCTGAGGCCCATCAGCACTTGACAGCAGGCTGGGAGGTGGACGGTGTGGCTCAGTGCTTCAGCACTCTCTCAGTCACACCCTGCTTGGGCCCTACAGTGAGCGAGAGCAGTTCTGCAATGATCTGATTCCTCAGCATGTATAGCTTAAGTGAGAGAACCCATGCACTCTAATGAGACCACCTCTCCAGACAAGGGCTAGAAATTACTCAAATTCCTGGTTTATCTGCGACCTGCATGTTAAAATAATATTTTAGAGGACTTAATTTTGCTGGATTTGTTACATTTCCTTTTTACTCCCTCCAACCACTGATTTTGTCTTGCAATTTCCTTTCCCTCCCTTTATTTCTCATTATGGAGTTTCAAGCCGGATTTTGGAATAACGATTGTACTTCATTTTTTCGCTTTTGGTTGACAGTGTTGTTGAGCTTGCATGTGCAGTTCAGTCCTGTCTCCTCTTGTCCCAATGAGTGCCGCTGTGATAGAACATTTGTTTACTGTAATGAGAGGAGCCTGATGTCTGTGCCTCTGGGGGTGCAAGAGGGATATAAAACCCTCTTCCTCCACAACAATCAGATCAACAATGCCGGCTTTCCATTGGAGCTACACAATGTTGCCTCTGTAGAAACTGTTTACCTATATGGAAATCAGCTGGATGAATTTCCCCTCAACCTTCCCAGGAATGTTCGAGTACTGCACCTCCAGGAAAACAACATCCAGACAATATCCAGGGCAGCACTTGCCCAACTACCCATGCTGGAGGAACTCCATCTGGATGACAACTCCATCTCAACCGTAGGGGTAGAGGAGGGGGCTTTCAGGGAGGCTGTCAGCCTCAAGCTTCTTTTCCTTACCAAAAACCACCTGAGCAGCATTCCTATTGGATTACCGGCAGATCTCAAGGAGCTGCGTTTGGATGAGAATCGCATTGCCGACATTGATGAGGATGCCTTCCAGAATGTCACCACCCTGCAGCGACTTTTGCTGGATGGGAACTTGCTTGAAGATGATGCCATCGCTCCTGGAACCTTCCAGGACCTGGTCAACCTTAAAGAACTGTCCCTGGCACGAAACTCCCTCACTACTCCACCACCATTGCTCCCTGGTGCATCCCTGACCAAGCTCAATCTGCAGGAAAACCAGATGGACACCATTAAAGTGACAGCCTTCAATGGGCTTAGTAAACTGGAGAAGTTAGATATCTCCAGCAACCAGCTTCAGTTTCTTGCACCGGGTGTCTTTGATGGCTTGAGAAACCTGAGGCACCTTAATGCAAGAAACAACCTCTGGTGTTGTGATTGCAGCATTAAGTGGGTCATTGCATGGCTCAGGTCTCTGCCATCTGTGATAAATGTCCGCGGCTTCACATGCCAGAGTCCAGAAAGAGTGCGTGGCATGGTAATTCGAGAACTCACCTTAGATGCCATTGACTGCCCAGCAGGCACCGTGCTGCATCCCTGGCCAACCCATTCATATCCATCTACATTGCCACCCCGCAGAACCAACACCATCACCACGACCACCTCCAGAACCACCCACTTCACTACCATTTCACCCTCTGCTTTTTACCCCGCCTCTGCCAACCCCACACCCCCAGTTCCACATTTCCCTCCCGGTCCCCTGCCTCCTTACGAAGACCCCTTAAAAATCTCCTTTCATGTAGTTAATTCTACCTGCATTGATGTGAGCTGGGAGTCTTACTTCACTGTGACGGCTTACAAAGTGACTTGGGTCAAGATGGGGCAGAGTTTGATGAGTGACATCACTCGAGAAAGAACAGTCCCGGGATACCAACGAAGGCTTAGCCTGTCAAATTTAGAACCCAGGTCTATCTACCGCATCTGCGTGTATGTTCTGGATACTCTTAACACGTACAGACCAGGCGAGGATACTATCTGTTCTGAGGCTAAGACCAAATCCACATCCACGTACTCTGAATCTGAGCAGGCTGCCCAGCAAGACAACACCTCCACACTCCTATTGGCTGGAGTGATAGGTGGGGCTGCATTGGTGGTCTTGGTGACACTTCTAAGCTTGTTTTGCTGGCACATGCACAAGAAAAGCAGGTCGTCATCATCCAAATGGAAATACAATCGCGGCAGGAGAAAAGATGACTATTGCGAGGCCGGCACCAAAAAGGATAACTCCATCCTGGAAATGACTGAAACGAGCTTTCAGATAGTGTCACTAAACAATGAGCAGCTTTTAAAAGGGGACTTCAAAATTCAGCCCATCTACACACCTAATGGAGGGATTGGCCTCAGAGACTGTCACCTTAGTAATAACAGCATAGCTTACTGCAAGAGCAGTAATGTTCCCAGTGTGGACTTCTGCCACACATGATGCTTTTTGACGGATGCTACAACCATTTGTTCAAAAAAAATGCAGTTCAATATACTGTAAAATACACATATGTATTATATATATATATTTCCAGGTGCAGTCAACATGGTAATTGATACTGTGGACAAGTATGTGGAATTCTGCTATATTTTCTATTCTTAGTAAATATGAAATGGTTTTGTAATATGTGAGGCTCAAAGTGGTTTTGCTCAAGGACGCTGTAGATGTTTTGTATTATCGAAGCACGTTGGCTACCTGCTGCAAGTGCAGTCCACAGGTTTTGCCTCTCAACCACTTTAAGATCTTGAAAACGTTGCTAACCACACAACCAAAATATGCCCTGTGTGCTGAAATACAGCTACCCCTTCACACAACAGTAGTTAAGATAACACAGTGGTCAGGAAACCAAAACACCGCTGATTAAGCTGCAGTAGAAAAAAGGAGCCGAGTTTTTCTTTCATTCTTTTCTGTTTTTTTGGGGGGGGCGGGGGGGATTGAAGTGCACTTTCCTAATGCAGCAGAGAGCATGAGCATTCATTCAGGAAATTAGCTTTTGTGGAAATCACATTTGAAGGGAAAAGGGACCCCTCTTCACCACTCTGCAGTTCTCACAAGGAGAAGCCTACGTCAGTGAATGCGGTAGGGAAATGGTTAGAAGGGTTCCTGTGCAAGCATTTTCCAGTGAATATTTCTGTATCATTTTGGCCACCAGGGGGCAGCTTGTCTCAGTAAATTCAGAGGATAGCGGCTCAAATTGACCACAGACACTCTAGCATGTTAAAATTCTGACTTTTATGGGAATAGCTTTTTTGCTAGAGCCTTATTTTCAAGTAATTAGCAGCCTAAACATTAAATGAGGTAATATAATAGCTAAACCCCTGTGGTAAACTATTAATATCCTGAGGGAGCTCTGTAATCTCCTTCATATTTCTTTAATTATAAATTGTAAAACATAAGAAAACAATGAAAACTTCAACTTTAAGTCTGTATTTGCCTTTTATATACTTAAATTGCCCTTTCTGAACATGTTTTATGATTTACAAATTAGGCCAGGGTTTTACACAGAGCTCCACCTCTCAATCTGTTTCTGTGCTCTCATATGAATGTGATCAGGAACAGTCCACAGGCGACATCCACATAATTGTCTAGCTTTTCTTTTACTGACCAAAACCCTTTTTAATCATGCATCACATCAGGTGGGATGATGAATGGACATTTAAACAAAAGCCCTCTTTTCACAGAGAAGAACTGGCACATGCCAGACTCTGTCTTTGAAAGAGTTTCAGCACAGAGCTCCACCTCTCAATCTGTTTCTGTGCTCTCATATGAATGTGATCAGGAACAGTCCACAGGCGACATCCACATAATTGTCTAGCTTTTCTTTTACTGACCAAAACCCTTTTTAATCATGCATCACATCAGGTGGGATGATGAACGGACATTTAAACAAAAGCCCTCTTTTCAGAGAGAAGAACTGGCACATGCCAGACTCTGTCTTTGAAAGAGTTTCAGATCCCTGCATGAGTGCAATTAGGACTTTTTTTTTTTTTTAATGGTGCACCAGTTTTCCAGGACAGAGAGCCGAGTTTGGAATTCAGGCTTGCTGTGGAGAAGTATTTATCATGCGCTGTTACTCATAGACTTTACTTGCTTTGACAAGATTTTATTTTGTGGGCTGAGTTTAAACTCCCACTGCATAATCCCTGGTCCAAGAACGGGGAAAAAATGCAAAGGTTATTTTCACTTGACAGGAGGTTTCTGGATTGAGACAGGGGTTTGTAGTTGGGGTGGTTGTCCTAATTGTTGGAGTTAACCCTTAATCGCTCTCCAACTTGGAATTAAGGTTCAGACTAGATTGCTGGATACTTGTTTACATCCCAATTGCTTTTAGAATCACTCGAAATCAAACAGATGTTTGATTTATGTGACTAACAGTTGGTGCTTGCACAGGTTAATTACCAACATCCCACAAGGTTTGTCTCAGTGGCACAAACAAAATGCTCTCTAAAAGGAAAAAAGGGCTACTGCACTTCTGTGGTCATGAAAGTATTTCTCCTTAGCATCCCAGCAGGCTGCTTTGACCACCCCGTCCCTACTTTTCCTTGAAATCTGGAACATCCTCGGGCTCCATTTCTCATCTGAAGGCTTTTAACTGATGTGTACACCATTAACAATTCATTTCAAATCCTGTGGCCACCCGTAACTCTTTTTAACAGACTTCCTCCACACAAGTCCGGTGCGGTTGTCAGGCTCAGGTTCCCCGAGAGGAGGCGGTTGCGGTGGCACAGACCCAAATGAATCGCTGCAAAGTTAACCTGTTAGTGAGATAAATCTGTCCCGAGCCTCTCGCCGACAAATTATCACAGAGAGAAAAGTAATGGCAAGCTAGGCAGAGGAACTTATTTGTGCCACTATTCAGTACATCATTCCCTCCGTCAAGTCCTCAGAGCTAGCGTGGCGGGTTTTTGCTGGGTCGTTACCAAAACCAGAAATGTTTCATTCTAAACAGTTTTATCTATCGCCTTACTGTAATCCAGCAGTATGTCATAATGTGGTTCACGTGAAGGATTTGACATCAGTTATACAGAGACCTGTGGATTACAGTGAGAGTCACACGTTTTGAAGGCAGGACTGAATGGAAAGCACACATTTTGAAGGGCAATTGCAAACATCATCCTGACAGACATCAATAGATGACATTGCTAACAAGCCAAGGTCTATCCTCCTGACAATCATGGAATGTTATGATTCAGAGTGACTCATTGCCTCACTCGTGTGGCATACATTGTTCTTTATTTTCTGTGGATGAGCTGAAAATCACAGTAGTGGCCCTGTAGTCAAATGGATGTATTTTGACCAAAAGGGACTGTGAGCAATGCATTGCGTCCGTAATCATACCCAACAGTCAGTCCGTCTCTTGAAAAAGCACATTTATTTGGTTTGGAATAATTACTCTAAATGACTGTGAGGTCAGTCTGAACAAAGCACTACCACAAATGTGGCTGAATTCATCTTTGATCTTTCTGTGTGTCCCTTTCACCTTATTTATTTTATTTTTTTCTAAGGAATATATTTTACGTTTACGTTTTGAAATATTTTCTCACCTGTGCAATTTGGTATATATATATATTCATTATAAAAAAAAACATATTTAATACAGACTTCAGCACATCGGTTGACACAGTGGTTTTACATTAGGATAAAACAAAATCTAGCTGATGTTTGAATGAATCGATTACTGAGTGTCAGTTCATTCTAATGGAAACCTGAAAGCCATGACCGGCTTAACAACCACAAAGTTTAATGTTTTTTAGCATTCTGGGTCTTTTTCTTCACACTTAAGATGGGGAGTGATTGTACTTTTTTTTTGTTTAATTTTAAAGATATGGTGATTTATTTGGTCTGTAAGCTGCAAGTAGAATCCATTGGGAACCAAAGTAACTTTTGATTGCTACATACATTTAATTTCTTTTGTCTGTTTCCACTACTAAACTGTTGTTGTTGTCCCATGTATGTGCCTTGAAATGAACTTACAATGTAAAGTCCTTGAAACCTTTAAATGGTTTTGCACAAGTTGTAAATAGAGAAACCGAGCTTTTTTTGAAAATAAAGGAGCCATCAGAATTGACCGGTGATCTTGTCCATTATAGCCAAATCTCACTTTCTTATTTTCCAAGATGTGTGATCCATTTATTAACACATTGTCCAACACTGTTGGCTAGTGTGCCGATATTTTTGTTGATGAATGATGTTAGTTGCATTGGACAATTTAGTGTGGTCTGGAAGCACATGCATTTTTTTTTTTCTGGTATCTTTACTTAAATTATCTTGGAAGTAACTTAAATTGCTCAAAGGATGAGGTCTGAGCACTGAAATATAAATTAAAGGATTGCCAGCATAAAAGCTAAAACTGAAAGGTAAGCATTTTACATTAGATATATACAAAGGTTTTACAAATCTGCTTTATAATATTGACTCAGTAAAACTTTACATATGAAATATTGATATTATACGTTGACATATTACTAACAATATGAAAGTTACTCTAACTTCACAATAACGTGTACCACAACCTAAAGGAGGATGTTTTTTTTAATTACACTAAAAGGCCTTTTACTTGCTAAAATAGTATAAACTATCAATCAGATGACAATATGCATGTAGTAAATTGCGTACAATATATGTTTTTCTGCAAATATAGAGGCCTTAAAAATGGTCAGTATCAAATATGATACAGTATATGCTTTATATGGTTAAATTCATTATAGTTTTTTTTTACATTAAATATGTTCAGTACCTCCACATTGGACATTTTTATTTAGTTTCCACAATAAAATGATCATAAACTCAATTAATTCTAAATTCCTCTAGTTTTCTGAAGCCATATTATAGCTGTATTTAAGAATAAGACCACAATCTACTTCCGTATACACAGATCTGCCGTAAAACTCAATGATAGTCTATTATATTAGTATCTATAATAGTAAAATGCATGAAGCATATTTATAATATGATGAATTCATCAAGATTTGTACTTTTCTAAAACTGTATATTTAAAAAAGCTTTACATTGTAGATACTGTCAGTATGTTTATATTGTATGTTTCGGTGTATGTCGTCAAAAAAAAATGTGTAAGTACCGACAGACACTAATGAGACCAGGCTGAGAAAGTGACTATTTGATAAGTGAGATTTTGACAAGTTTGCATGATGACAGCTACTGTGCTTTAGACAGCTTGGACGGTAAAGCCTTCTCAATAGTTGCAAATTTAAAAAGTCATCCTTTCTAAAACTGTATAGCCAGATGGATATCTTTGTCCACTGAGTCACATTTTGTCAAGTTACAAAGAGTCCAACATAAAAAAGCATTTTGAGATCCCAGCATTATTATTATTATTATTATTATTTTTATTTTTGTTTTGAATGCAAGAATATATCTTATGTAAATGCCCTTCAGTTCAAGTTCAAGTTCAGTTTATTTATAGAGCACATTTAACAAAGTGCTGTACAAAAATATCACAAAAAATCTAAATATAAACACTTAAAGGGACAGAAGACCACAATAAAATAATGAAAAAAAGAGATGCCAGGGAGAACAGATACGTTTTTTGAAGATACTTAAGAATTGTCAGTGAAGGTACCAATCTAATTTCCAAGGGCAGATTATTAGGCCTACCAGATTCAGTTGTTGAGACAACACATACTATGCAATACTACTTTATGTAGTTTGCACATAGAAGTAACTCTCCCAAACATATTGTCAACTATTTGTTTATAAACCTTTTAATTGGCTGGCAACACTTGTCTTGAAGTGTTTTGATAAGATTGCTTCTCATGCTTCCACCTCAAACTACACACATTTGCTCAGATTATTTACAATGAAAAGCTCAACTTCAAGGTTATGGTCAATCTTTTGTCCAGGGAGCCAGGCTGTGTTTCTCTGCACTATGTTTGTGAGAACTCTTCACAGCCTTTGGTCACAAAGGTGCGGACTGTCGTCCTGAATACCGGGGCCTCGTAAAATATGAATTCTACTGCTTTGATGAATTGTACCAAGACGCCTTAAAGATGTTCCTCCTGAAAAGGGAAAAATGTGTCCAACGCCTACGCTTAGCTTAATTTTAAAGTGATTTTAAATGTTGCCTCAAAGTCCTATAGCAGCAAAGTCAGCAAGTCTGATTCTCCTCGTTGTAAAAAAAGATACTTCTCAGTTCCATATTTTTCCTTGAAGCAAAGAAAAGTCAGATTTGTTGCTTTTATACCGTGAGGATTCAGAAATGGATAATGTGCTATTTGAAAGGAATTGTGAGGTGGTGTATTTTCTATGAATTGATGCTGGTCCCCCTGAGTCTTTTCTTATTCACGGAGAAAAGCTGAAGGCTAAAATGAGTCTCCCTGTTCTCTGTGGTAGTCTGCCAGGTCAGTGGTCCTTTCTCTGGTTGAATTTATTGAACAGGGTTGCAATTATTAAGAAGAGCAGAAGCCACCATCGATCGCGCATGATTGCCCTGTTTTAGTAGGAAGCCCTCCTAGGACGGTTTAGATGCAATTGTATCACTACATGAAGAATGAGTACATGTTTTTAATCTGTCTAGACCAAAAGTCCATGGTTCTGCTAAATCAATCAACATAAGCTTATTTTCAGGTTGGAAATATCTGGGTTGCGTTGCACATTAAAATGCAAAACCGTAGTTTTACCTCTCGCCATGCCTGTTCTGTAGTCTTTTTAACTTGTATCACAACTTATAA